ATAGATACAAGAAAGGATAATAATGTTGAACAATATAAGAAGTGTTTAGTGTACTCCACTGCTAATGACGTAAAGACTTCTCTTAAGTGTACAGTCGTTAAACAGTAAGTTATGTCTCATCTTGTCACGAAGAGGTATTGCTATAAATCACTTGATGTAGCCTTCACAGCTTTCGGTTGTATGCATGAACACGTAACGTATTGCTGTTTGTATGTCTACTGTACCAACTTGAGATCTCAGAGCGCAGAGTGCACTCGAAACAATAGTTATTTTCAAAAACAGTTCCATTTTACACCACATCCCAATACGTGTAACCTCCGCACCGTCCATCAAATTCACTACGAGTAATCTATCAAATTCATCGCACGCTTTAACTGCAACGAAAATCAACAAAGTTTTCACTTTATAATTTATCGAATAAGGAATCAATGTTGCATCTCTAACACATCAAAGCCGTGCATCGATACCAATACAGAATTGATTTAAATCGATTAATCAACTCTCGATACACGTACGAAAACAATTTGCAAAACTGAGTTCAATTCGCGCCATCCCGTTGTAAAGCACACGAGACGGAATGACGAATTGTAAAAGGAAAGGCACGGTTTAAATCGTCGTTTAATGTGCAATTTGTATGACTGGTCGCTTTGAAATGAGCCAACACTTTGTGCGGATCCAGCGTCGGAGTCCACTCGCGTAAACTTTAACAAACATTACTTTGCTATTGGTAAACTGCAGCGCTTGGCAAATTGAATGATATGTTTAGGGTTATAAGATTCAAATTTTATTGATCTATGACGAATGGTTCATGAAATTAAGTTGGTAATAGTACAAAGTTGGCGCCACAAGCACTGCGAGGCGTTGCATGCAACGAGCGCTCATCGACGGTTAAACGGTTATAATCGAATGATCTTTATGACATGCGATGACACGAAATGACACGCGGATGTAATTCAATATTGTTTTCATATTAAGTACTCTTAAGTCTTGATAAATAAGTAATAAATGTGACGTGGAGGTGTTTCGATGAGCTGCAGCTTGGTACTGAGGATGAAATACTTTGTTGCTGTTGATATAGCAAGTTCTAATTGGTCAGGTACGATTATTTAATTGCTGAGATATCCGGGCTTCATAGACAGCCTGTCATTCTGTAAGCTCTTGGAATAAATTATAACATTGTTAAGCGAGACTGTCTCTTTGTCTAAATACCAAGTTTGGGTATTTTTTCCTTTCTTAGAAATAGTTTTGTAATTGCAAGTCTATTGTTAAACACTGACCTCAATTGTCTTCTACGGTCTTCTACATTAGTTACTGGTGTTGATGTTCATATTCTCAGTAGTAGCAATTGAATTTGTGATTGAAACCTTACACGTCATACAAGAACAACACAACTAGTAGTCATTTCTTTCATAATACCTATTGAAAGGGATCCTAACGAGCCAGTCGTTGGAGTTTATCTAAACAACCCAGAATAATTGCTTCATCTAAAACTAATGCGATAGTCGTGTCTCCAACCGATACCCTAACTTTATTGACATCGTTGCAGACCTCTCGTTAGCTTACATTTAATTTATATCACTGTTTAAGACGTTCTACAAATTAAGTAAAATTTTAAGGACTTACACGACTGTAACTCCTTTAAAAGATAGAATGTACATGAATGCATATGAGGCAGACTACAGCACAGTACACATCCAATCTTAATTAAACTGATCAGCTAAAGGATGTACAAAACTTCCTTTTCTTTATTAATGGTTTCGTAGGAAATATTTTTATTATCGCTAGACAATGGGGAGTTCATGCTAATTTTCTGCTTCCGAGAACCTACTTTATAAGCTTCGAAGCGAAGTTTTCTTTATCGCCATTAGACACATAACTCATTCATACTTTATAATCCATCCAAACTGTGCCACTTCACAGTTCTAATTGAGATTTTAAGTGCCGCGGTGCTAACTAGAACTTTCTAGAATATAGTGTAATTTAACTGTAGGAAACATGATTATTTCAACTTGTAACTGTTATAAACACGAATAAAATTATATACGGTTAGGTTCCCACTTTGCACTGCATCGCTCTTAATTTAATTTTCTTGACGCAGTGCTTTTATGAGTGATATTTGTAATTAGGAATGTATATAATGGCTTTGCATTAATTCGATATATCTGTCTGGATCGGGATTATTTTCTTGCCAAACGATGTCATATTTTAATGTGATGTCAGAAATTCATTCAGCTTCTACGCAGTTTTGATCAATTTTAGTCCCTTCTATTTTCTTTTCCAATATTTTAATATTATCTCGTTTCATTACCATTATGATTATTTAGATATCCAATTGCCATTTCGATACGAGACAAGTTCAGTAGATATACAACTCAAAACCTTTTTAAATGGAAACTTCCTAATTTGGAACTCATCGTCATCGTTCACCAACATGTTTATAATTTGATGTAGTGGTGTGAGTGTGACTAAAGAAAGCTGTGAATTATTTACTCTCTAGAAGACATTCTTTGTTCCCTCATCATCATGGGAATCATAACACCTATCATTGCTGCGAAGAAATCATCGAGCATTAGCTAAACCTCACAGATATCGAGAAGCTTGTAAACGAATTTTGTTACTTTCCCAGTGAGACGAGGCAAAATAAATTAATCAATTGCTTAATGTTTTATGCAGGTTCTTGGTAGTGCCTTCAAGTAAGTGAATTAGATACTTGCACGAGGTACTTTATGAAGCAATGAGTAAAGACGATGGTGATAATAAGATCGGAGATCTGGTCGGTCTCTCATACATAGGTACCCCTCTAATTTCCTACATCAACAAACAAGACACATGTCAAAACGGTATTTAGATCATCTGCAAACTGAGCTATTGAGCGGAGCGTGCCGACTTGTGGTGGTCCAATATTGACACGGCAATCGACGCGACCAGTCGCATACATATTGCAATAATATAGCGTACGTCTAGCCGCCGCCACGCTTTATTTGCTTGTCCGCACGTGTATCGCATGCCTTATTTTTTATTTAATAGATTTATTTGATTGTTGCTTTTCGTTGTTTATTGATCGTAAACGTCGATTATTGTGGTTTTTTGTATAATGGTTGCCGCTGTAGTCGAGGCTTTGTTAATATTTAGTCATTCCGCACTTGATGTGTTCGTCCGGAGTGCGTTATATCATAGCAACAAGTGTTATAGGTATTTGTGTATTAACGATCACCCGCATGTTTAATTTATGACAGTTTACTGAACTATGGTTATTACTCATGTTCTCAAGTCAGAGTAAAGTTATTGCAAGGCTTGAGAACTTTGTCTCCCCGTGTGACTGACGTGGTGGCGCTTATCATTCGATTTGTCCGTGTCTCGCGGTAGATGAGGCGCAAATTGACCGGATAATACGCGTTTTACGACACACTTCTCCTTAGCTATTTGGTTATGGTTACCACTGCACAACATTAACAAATAAATGGAGTTTTTTTTTGCAATTCTCTAGGCTCCTATTTCATCAGTTTAACTCGTCGAGTACCGGTTTTGCAGACACAATTATAGAACAATAGGTTGCGGTCACCGGTGACCGCTTGGTGTTTGACAGTTTAAACTGAAAGTATTTACAAAATTTATACCAAATCAGGTACCTACCTGATTTAAACTGTCAAACACCAAGCGTTCACCGGTGACCGCAACTTATTGTTCTTTAATTGTCGCGGAGAACCTAACGGGTAACCGGGGCTCCGACTCGACGTGCAGGAGAAGGAACGGGGTGGTTTTTAGTCAGTAAGAGTCTGACATTCCCTCCCGCCTCACCCAGGAGCAGTCATGCTATGATTTTCCCCCCTTAAAAAAAAAATGTTCTTTAATTGTGTCTATAATGACGGTGCTCGACGAGTTAATAAGATCGGAAAAAAGTAGGTACTAAGTAGTAATATTTTTTAAATTTCTCTTTGTGTCATGAATACTTATTTACTTATTTAACGAATCAAAGTGCTAAGAAGGTTCCTTAAATGTATTATCCAGGAGTACCCAAAGCAGTAAGCTCTACAAAAAAAGTAAGTAACCGGAATAAAATTCAGGTTGTACACGGTTGTCTCCGCACAACTTATTAAGTTTACTGCTAATTACTAGACTGTAGACGCTTACTTGATGAGAATACTTGCTAAGGTTGATAGAATAGATAAACAAGATCTACATAAACATAGGGTTACATCTTATAATCCCTGAAAGGATAAGGCAGAAGTGCACAATTGTACATACACAGGTATGTATACAATGCAACTCCTATTTCACCAGTTACGTTGATTATTAATCCTTTATATTTTATTTATATTGGGGATAAGGTACGTACCAAACGAGCAGGTAGATCACCTAATGGTAAGTAATTAGCGTTGCTCATGGCCACACGCAACATCCAAGTAGAGTTACAAGTGCGTTACGGGCCCTTCAGAGGATTTGGCGTCTAGGTTTTGCCAACATTAATTCAGTCTCAGAGAAGATATTCAAATAGACTATGAAGTAACTACAAATATAAGTAGGTAAATAGTAAATTAGATACAGGACCAGCCCTAGCCATGTTCTTAGGAAAACTGTACATGACAATAAAGCATTAAAGTTTAGTAGACACACACGGCGCCGACAAGACGGCAACCGAACCTCCAAATACATGGATATTATGGACTTATTACATGTTTAACTCATAAACTAGATAAGAGGTAATGTAATTTGGATACCTACAAGTAATTTAAACGAGGACTAATTATTGTATTGATTGGACTCGTACTAAAACTGAACAATCGTAGGGCAAAGCCTTTTGAAACTGTAAGACATGCTACAGCAATCCTCAAGTTGCCTACCAAACTTTGCAATTAGAGCCAGTCGAATGAAAATTATTATCATATTACGGACTTTAATAGATGCTGATTTTATTTTAAACCTTGTTCCTAAGTAATTCTTTACTTAAACCTGGTTGTCTGACTTGTCTGATGAAATAACATTTCATTTTTTGTTTTCAGATTAAATCGGAGTTGAAATGAAGGACAGGATAGGTATGTAAGTAATATAAACTATTGTAGACATTGAATTATCTGTTATTTTGTAAAATTACATGCAGTACTTACTTAAATTATTTTGCAGAAAAATATTTTTCCATATACAAGGTCATTAAACCTTAAACCAGTAAATTATTCAAGATAATTAAAAATCTTATTACAATTAACGAGACGATATCTGTCTAGCCTTTAGAAACCCTTCTTAAGTATCTAATTTAATCATATCAATTGCAACGATTGCTAATTGCTTTATAATTACGCGGTAAATAATTTATAGATACATAAAAACGATTAATTAGCACATCCGAAGCTTATAGATGACGGCAGAAGAGTATGTCAAAGCTATACTTATAATTACGAACATACACAATTAAATTAATAATACTGACATTGCCTTATTAGCCAATAGTAATAAATGCTCCTGCCAAGCAAATCTGCAGTTAGGCATCAGACCACCACGGATGGGACCAACAGGGCCGATGCCGATTCGGAGTCGCGGGGAACCTAACGTGTTACCGGGGCTCCGGCTCGAAGCGCAGGAGAAGGAACGGGGTGGTTTTTAGTCAGTAAGAGTCTGACACTCCCTCCCGCCTCACCCACCATGTGTATTTAGTATTAAGTAAGTAAATACAAAAATCTCAATAATGCTATTTTTCGACTTATAAAGGGTGTAAAGGGAATGGAGTTTTAATAATTGTAATAGTTTTTACGTGATATACATGGAACTTATGCCGAAATACTGAAACGTTACTCAATTTTAAGTCGTGCTTAAATATCGTGCCATCTCTGTCATTTTACAAAGAATTTGTGGAGACAGAACTATACTTAAGCGCGACTTCAAATTGAGTAGCGGTTCAGTATTCCGACATTAGTCAGTAAGAGTTTGACACTCCCTCCCGCCTCATCCAGGCGTGAGAAGTCATTCGATGATTTCCCCCTTAAAAAAATACATGGAACTTCAGCCTTAAGCGATTGATTACAACTATTACCACTACATAGTATAATACAAAGGTGCTATCTGCTATGCTTGGATCATTAAAACTACGCAACGGATTTTGATACGGGTTTTTAAATAGATAGAGTGATTCTTAAGGAAGGTTTATATGTAGAGGTATAATACAAGAATTTTGCATCTGAAATAATTCCTTATTTTTACGAAACTAAAACTTTTTTTAACCTTCACCTGTCGGCGTTTTTGGGACCGTTCTGTTTACACTGTTTAAGATGTGGTGGTGTATTATCTGTATTTATAGTTCATCAAAATCGAGCGTAAAAATTGGGGCATTTGGTTCAATTGCTCTAAAATATTTTATGACTTTGACCTTTTTTCTGAACTTTACTTCTCGAAAGTGCAGTACATCCAAGTTCATCCATCAACGTCACTTTATCAAAATTAGACCATGTCGTACTACGAATTTATTATTTAACCATTGGCTTATTTGTCTCATCTTTGTCATCTATATAATAAATAGTACATAGAATATCGAATTCGAGACAGCTTTGACTTTAGGACTAAAATGGCAAGGTGAGTTCAAATTCCTATCCGATAAAAATTACTAACTGAAAACCATAGTAATTCTTTAACACGAGACGTAGATTGAGTTGAAGATCTCATGTTAAAATGTACTACATGTACACCTAGTACCTAAAGTATTCAGAAAAGTAAAGTGAGTTATTTTTACAAAGCATCGATGTTTTTTTACCAAGCGTATTAGTTATTCGCTTAAAATTTAAATAATATTGTGAATAACACAATAAGAATTTGTTATTAGACATTTATATTTATAACAACTTCTTGTGTGGCCATCTGAATTTATTAAAATTGTAAATAACATAATTTAAGAAACGAAGTGAAATGAAGGAATAATAGGTCTGTTTATCCCTTGTTTTTAAACAGAGTAATATATTAAAATCATATCTCTTTACATGAAAGGGTTTTTGATACAGTTTAATCCGGGTGTGATAACTTTTTCACCAAAATTACCTCATAATTTTATTACAGTCGACTGCCAGACGAATTAAAGTGCTATTTTCCACTAGAGACAACATTGATATGTTATTTATTTCGGTTAATCACCGGCGCGCGGGCGTCCCTCGGGCTACAATGACAAACGTTCACCTTTGATCGTTGGTAATTCGGGTGATATACGAGCGATAATAGCTGTTAGGTAAGGTATATTTAAAGCCGTTTATCCAATAAATAGAGAAGGGCTGGAGACATTTTATTGGATCGATTTTGTAAGTTTATCGTTGTTTTTTAATTTGTAAAAAATGAAATGTCTCATGAACACGCCATGGTTTTCAGTTTTTAAATGTTATGCTGGGTTACCGATGCTATTTAGTAATTAGTTAGAGTATTGTAATATCGTAAAGTATTTTTGAACCTATTTATGATAGCACTGACTATGACATGACTGCTTCGTTAACCGAGTGGTCACACTGCTGGGCAAGGGGTCTCGGGTTTGATACCCGGGTCGGACATAGATTTACTGGGTTTTTAAAAAAATCTCAGTAGTAGCACGGAGTCTAGAATTGTGCCTAGTATGGCAATAGCCTCATCCCCTATTACATGGGATACGTAAAATAAATAGTGAAAAGTGGGTACACCTCTAATTATCCTTCGGGTATAAAAGGTCTTATATTATGTATATAAATATGATGATAGCAATACAAGTTTGTACAAAAGGTTTTTATAACAAGAAATTAAAAGGGTGTACCTATGTGAACAGGTATCTATATGTTTAGGTACTAATTGTTTTCAACCCTATGTATTCATTAAGTAAGTACACCACATTGAGGTTAAATTTTGTATAGTAGCGATTGAGATATATTAAATTTATAAAAATGTAAGTAGGTACAGTTGACTGGCGTGAACTATAGGAGAAGAGCTCAAAGGTTCATAACAGTTTGTAGTCTCTGTATTTTTAGATATAAAGAAAATAAATCTTAAATTAATAGGACGAGACTACTTGTCTTACCTACGAAATACATAAATACTCGTATTTTGTTTGCGGTCGAATTTATCCGGTAGATAGTCTAGACAAGTCGTAAAAATTTTATATTCACAACAACTATAAAACGAAACTGTTAAGAAAATCTTTACAATTCTCACTGTTCTGCGTGATTACTCTGTTTTGCAGTATGTGGCTCACCCCCTATTACACGGGACTTGTAACATAAATAGTGAAAAGTAAGTATTGCATCGCCCATGAATGCCGTATTATGCAGCTCTGCCTACCCCTTCGGGAATATAAGGCGATGTTTATGTTATGTTCATTTAAAAGTGGCACTTTGAACTTTAAACTCTGAGTTGATTTTCCACTTTACTTCTTAATGTAGGTACTTACTTAATTTAAGTGGTAATTGTCAAAATATTTATTATAAAAATATTTATTATAAAAATATTTTGACAAGTAACTGAATAAACCGTAAATAATTAGCATCAGATACTAAAAAAGTATCATACATCAAAACTACGTACGAGTACCTACTACAAGTAGCGACAAAGCTTACGACCGTCTGATGGTCGGTTCAGAATTGGTTACCGTAACTTAGGTATTAATTCAGTCTAAAATACATTTGACAAATTAGTGCATTTCCAATTAACAACAAGTAATGAAGGTTTATGAAACGACTTCAAAATGGCTTCTCATGCTCTCATAAATCACGATCTAGGTTACCTATGCATTAGTGCCAAAAGGAATGTGTTACAATCTAAAAAGTGATTGGATTCGGAACGTCAAAATGTGAGTATTGACTGTGTTTAAATCACTGTTAAATCAACAAGGATTAGCTGTCATTGATTAAATGAAATAAAAGAAAAATATTTTTTTTTCCATTATCTTTAGTGTACTTTAAGTAATAGTTAGTGTTTATTTAATTTAAGTTTATATTATTTGTAAATAAGGATTTTTTGCCTTTTGATTAATTACTTTAGGAATTGAATAAAAGAAATTATACTTTTCCTATGCTATCTTTTCTTAATCACTTGAAATATCGTACCGAAAATTCCCAAAATTAGTTCATACAAAAATAGTTTTGGGGAGACAATCATACTGCCATAGCGAGAGGGTGTTTCAAACTCTTACTGACTAAAAACCACCCCCTTACTGATAGGTATAGGTATAAACATTTAGTTTAAGATATTAAACTAAATGTTTGTTTAGGAAACGTAACAAAAAGATATTAAACAATTCGAAACCTTAATTCTAAATTGACACAGCTTTTGATATTCTTAGCAAACAATGACAACTAGACCAAAGTTAAATTTCATCGATTTTATTAATTGGAACTAGTTTGTTCCAGTTCGTTTCCACTTTCGTGGCCACCACGCGAACTCATTCTGTAAACATTCCATCTCAATCCTATATTAACCACACTTCAATAAAGTGTTCCAGACTACATTTTTAGGAAATCTCAATAAAGATTGACATTCTAAAATACGCCTTAATTATACACCCTTATCTCTTGGAAGATAAGATAGAAAATTGTGTAGCAAGAATTAAAGAGTTGAAAGAATTGTGTCACAGGATCGTTTGTCTCCGTCTAATTTGGTTTGATGGCCTTTGATAGACATTGATAACTTCTAAATGACTTTATTTTTGGCCTGTAAGCCACTATTAACTTTAAGTATAGAAGCATTAAGATTCCCTTCTCTGTCCGTATTATTGTCTATTAAAAGAGTTATAAAAAGTATGTGTACTGTAGTTAGTTTTACTGTGTTGGAAAATACTCGTAAAAATGTGAGAATGCTTGGACAAAAATACCTATATGCGTTTTTTATGGGTTATCTAGTGTGAAGGAAGAAGTGTGAATGATTTTAGATGTTTAGAAGTATTGATTGAAGAAGTGCTTCGTAAATTATTCAAACACTGACAGGGTATGATTGTTTTGTAATTGTGTATTGTTGTTCTAAAGTGAACTTTCTCATTGAAGCTCTAAGTAGGTAATTAGTTTGGGGAAATTTTACGTTGTGTTTGCATTCTAATTGATTTTCT